AAAGGTGAGAATTAAAAGGCACTTTTAATAAAGAATATATCAAAATGTGTAATTGTACAGTGTGAGAGTGAATAAAGGCACCGAGACAGGAACAAGAGTACTGAGAATAGTCCATTTCTTCATACTCGTAATCCTATGTGTCTCTGTATGTTTACTTTGTATATATAACCCTGTAGAAAGCTTTAAACCTAAACAGTTATTATAAAGTAGAAGAGAAAAGTGATAAGTAGTTGAGGGGCAGGAGTTGAGAAAGTGGATGTGGTTGTTTTGGGGTTTTTTTTTTAAGTGTTGGTAACATTTGCTCACAAGCAAATCAAACCCCATTACTGTCGAGTCAATTCCTACTTATATTGATCTGTCCTAGAGAATTTCCAAGGCCACACATCTTAAGCAGACTGCTACGTTTTTCTCCCACAAAGTGACTGGTGGGTTCAAACCAAAATGTCAAGCATTTTGTTTACTAGGTGAGGTCTTTAACCACTGCACCACGGGGGTTCCTAGTTCATGTTAAGAGGATCTATTGCTAACCCAAGAGTCAATAACAATCAGAGTCTTTCAAGTGAAATAAGTTCAATACATAAGCAGCCCTGAGTCATGATCCCTAAATTGAGGGTTTAATTGGCAGGGGTGAATTCATACTAATTTCCATTCACTGGCCTTTTCTCTGTCTTCCCTCTCTGTTATTTATGATTAGCCTAACAGTGTTTTGCTCCTTTTTGAATTCCCAAGCACTGTAAAGTTCAACAATAATGTATAGAATCTACAAAGGGGAAAACACATATAGAATATAATGGTGCATTAATTATGTTGCTTTTTGGAACTAAAAAGAGTCCTTTTCAAAAGCCCTTAAAAATACTCTTCAATGCCTTTTCCCAAACATCCACTTTCACTATGCTCATCAAATATTAGCTAATAATTGTTGTGTGTGAATCTGAGCACCTAGGATACCCAAGTGCTGTTTTGCCTACTTGTTTGACCCAGTTGCCAAAAAAATAATCCGAGAAGTCTTTTAATACTTGTTCCTACAACAGATGCTAATCAATAGTAGGTAAATTGCTGAGAAACAAGAATTTATTCTTTCCTGTCTTCTCACTAGCTGCATATTTTAGTGTCTAAAAATATTGTTTATTCCATCCAAAGATTGTGGATTTTAATATCATACACCAGTTTTACCTGTTACTGAACTTTATGTAAATGCAATCATATGATCTCTCAAGAGAGACAGTATTTTCTCTGTTCTATGTCTTAAACATTTTTATAAGTGGTATAGCACTGGTCTGTCCATGTGCTGTACAGAGGTAACTCATGGTTGCTGTGATGTTAAACACTATGACATTGATGTGTCAAATGTGATAATAGTTACCCATGGTGGACAGTGTTTGGTGAAGCTCTCCAATTAAAATAAGCTGGGAAGCAGGACTGGCTTCTGAAATAGCTTGCCTCTGGAAACTCTATGGAGGTAGAGAAATGATGAAAGTTATACAAGTGTTCCGGTCTTTCACTCATAAGGTCGCTATGAGTTGTCTACAACTCAACGGCACTTAACAACAACAGCGTCATAATTACATTTCAGGGAACTATTCTACAGAAACTTTAGTGGAGCCCTAGTTGTAAAATTAGAACCTGCTTTCTACTTCAGCTTTTGCAATCTTCATTCGTATTTATGATTCTGAACCCAGACAGTGGCTGTAATATGCCCATTACTGAAGGCCTGTTAAAAGCCACATTATGAGCTACCTTAATTGGACTGCTGTCTGCAAAGAAAATAAAGGCCAGTTTAATTCTCTCTTGTCATTGACCTATGGTATTTTTGAGACACAGACTTGCCTCATCTCTACCAAATGGGCCCTACGAGGGCTGATCACATTGGTCCTAAACCTTACAAATAAATCCATTTGAAACCGAGGTCAGAAGTAATTGGATAATAAGCTAACCTGAGAAGCCTTTCCACTGGCTGGAGACCAGAGCAGGCTGTTTTTTAAAATGAGGGCCTAGTTTTGAGGCACTACAGCAATGAGGGTCTTGAAATTAGATTTGGGGAAAGGTTGTGCTTCTTTTGAAAATATTCGGCTACTTTCTAGTAGCTCTCTCTGTCTTTTTCCTTGCCCTCTCCTTGTTGCTGCAACACCAACAAAGTAGAAGTGATTTCTTTTTCAACTTTGAATGATGTTTTCTCCCCTGGTGTGACTCAACTTGAGAAACACTAAACTCCCCAGAGTTTACTCACTCTACTTCTGGTTCACTGGGCTTTGAACTATTTCCCAGTGAGGCATTTGACTTAAGATGCAGCTCTAAGTGCATCAGGAGGCAACAGATCAATTCACTAGGGCTTCAAGTTACTCTGCCACTTGAAATCACTTGTACAGCACCTGGTAAGCAGCCTGCTTTTCTTGCTTGCCTCCTCACCACCCTGGCCAGAATTGTGTTTGGAATAAGCAATCAAGAAAAGGATGCTCTCCCAATGTGTAGCCTATTTAACAGATATAGGTCAAAGTTTTCTTCAAAGATGTCTTTTTATTATTTTTCATTCTAGCACAAATACCAAAACCCATTGCCACTGAGTTGAGTTCAACTCATAATCACCCTCAAGTAGGTTTCTGAGACTAAATCTGAGAAGAGACTGCCCATCTTTCCCCTAGGAAGCCATTGGTGGATTCAAACTGTTGAATTTTGTTCAGCAACTCAAGACATTGTGCATGACAAAGCCAGGGCTCCTTCTATAAAAACTCAAAACCCCTGCATCAAGTCAGAACTGCATCCTGCAGGCTTTCTGTTGGGTATCTGAGGATGTAAATTGCACAAGAAGAGATTGCTTATCTTTCTCGCATGGAGCTGCTGGTGTATCTGAGCCACCAGCATGACATGGCCTCTGAATAAGCTATGCAGCTCCCTACAAACTACATTACTAGAGTTCCCAAGCACCAATACAGTGATCCTTTATTCTAAACTGAAAATCAGGATACTTGTTCTTACAGTGGACTTTAGAATTTTTAATATATTTATTAAATTAATGTGTTTTATGTGTCTAAAAGATTTTGAAATTAAACCCTATTTTGTCACTTACATAATAAATCTAACAAATTTGCTGTTATTGTTCTTGTTATGTGCCATCAAGTCATCTGAGACCCATGGTGACCCTATGTATACCAGCTCTCAAGCCTGCCCTGTCCTCAGCCTGTCTCACTAATTCTGACACACCAACCCACATGGCCCCAGTTACTATATCAATCCATCTCATCTGGGTTCTTCCTCTCCTGCACTGTCCCTCCACCCTTCCAAGCATGATGTCCTTCTCTAAGGACCAGTCGCTCGTGACCACATGCCCAAAGTACGTGAGACAGAGCTATTATTGTTAGGTGCCATCAAATTGACCATGACTGATAGCAACCCTGTGAACATAGATCCTTCACCATCCTCACACTCTGATATGCTTGAGCCCGTTGCTGAAGTAGTCACCTGTCAGTCCATCTCATGTGGAGTCTTCCTTTCTCTGACTCTCTACCTTTTCCATCATGATGTCAAAGGACATCATTCCTGACATGTCCAAAGTATGTGAGGCAAAGTTTCACCATCCTTACCTCTAAAGAGCACCCTCATTGCACTTTCTTTAAGACATATTTGTTACTTTGTCAGTTGATAAGATATTCATTACTCTTGGCCAAGACAAACATTCAAAAGTGTCAGGTCTTCATCATCCTTACTCAACATCCAGCTTTCACATGTGTTACACGTAAGCATGTCTTGGATCAGTAGTCTTTAAACAGACATCATTGCTCTTTAGCATTTTGGGGAAGCCTTTGACAGCAGATTTTCAAGATGAAACATGCCTTTTGATTTCTTGACTACTGTTACCATGGGTGTTGATTGTGGATCCAATTAAAATGAAATCTTCCACAACTTCAGTCTTTACTCCATGTATAATGATGTTGTCTGTTTATTAAAATGAACTTAGTAGTGGGGAAAATGTATAATAAAATACAAAATTCCACCAAAATTACTATTTTCAGTGTTGTAGCCTATCTGGTGAATGCATTCCCAATATTGATGTTGCAAAATCCAAAGTTACATGCATTTGTAATTCTGAAAAATTTTATTAAGGCTCCTTTGTTGGAAATGTGCCAGTTTATAGCTTTTATCTTGCCTACTCAAATTTGCATTTTTACTTTTAATAATATTAAAGATATTATCTTAGAAGATCAGTTTGTTCCTTTTCTGTGCTACTGTTAGAGAACCCACAGAGAGCTAGAATAAGGCCAAAGTTTGAGGTCAGGCCCTCTTTCCAAACTTGCATTAAAGCATCCTTACCCTTATTCTACAAACTACTGGGGATTTCAAACTAGATCCTGTGTTTATGTAGGTAGAATATTCCATATAGACTCATGCATGTAGTCAGAGTAAATTCACTTACAGACATTAAAGTGGCAGTATTAGGATTGAGAGATTACGAGTGGGTTTCTCTTCTTTACTATTTTAACTGTTTATAAGAAGCATATGTATACAGTTAGACAATTTTTCATGTGGGAAAAAAACCTATAAATTTCAAAAATATGTTTAAAATGAGAAATATATTTGGTGTTTGTATACATAGGATAAAATTTACATAGATGCATTTCTTGTAATGATGAGACACAAGGATTTACCCAATTCCTACTGTAACATTTTTATTAATTTTACACATCACATAGAGTTCAAACCATGTCTTTTCCAGTTCCTTGTTACATGGTAAGCTCCTCTGAAAACAGTGTGTTGTGTTCACGGTTGCCTTTAGCACTAGATTTTCATTAACATCAAATGAATGAGTAAAGTTTTGAATGCCGGTGTGCTCTAGTAGATTTTGCTGTGTAACTTTCAGTGGTAACTGGTAAATTATTTTAGCTAGCCTTGCAGTTCCCATTCCCTGTTACTTAAGTTTTGCTAAATATATGACATAAGGTAATTGATTAATCGCATCCAGGACACTGAAACAGTATTCTTGTTTTGTTTCACTTTCCATGTCACAGCTCCATTCAACCCAAACAAAGGTGCAGATAGTATCGTCAAATTTGACACTTTTGGAGATGGAATGGGCCGATACAACGTGTTCAATTTTCAGTATGGGAACGGCAAGTATTCCTACTTGAAGGTTGGTCATTGGGCCGAAACCCTGTCACTAGACGTGGACTCCATCCACTGGTCTCGGAACTCAATCCCCACCTCCCAGTGCAGCGACCCCTGTGCCCCCAATGAAATGAAGAACATGCAACCAGGCGATGTCTGCTGCTGGATCTGCATCCCCTGTGAGCCTTACGAATACCTGGCGGATGAGTTTACCTGCATGGATTGTGGCCCTGGGCAGTGGCCCACTGCAGACCTCTCTAGCTGCTATGACCTGCCTGAGGACTACATCCGGTGGGAGGATGCCTGGGCCATCGGTCCAGTCACGATAGCCTGCCTGGGTTTTATGTGCACAAGCATTGTTGTCACTGTTTTTATCAAGCACAATAACACCCCCTTGGTGAAAGCTTCAGGCCGGGAACTCTGCTACATCTTGTTGTTTGGCGTTGGGCTCTCATACTGTATGACCTTCTTCTTCATTGCCAAGCCGTCACCAGTCATCTGCGCCTTGCGCCGGCTAGGCCTGGGGACCTCCTTTGCTATCTGTTACTCAGCCCTGCTGACTAAGACAAACTGCATTGCCCGCATCTTTGATGGGGTCAAGAATGGCGCCCAGAGGCCAAAATTCATCAGCCCCAGTTCTCAGGTCTTCATCTGCCTGGGTCTGATACTGGTGCAAATTATTGTGGTGTCTGTGTGGCTCATTCTGGAGGCACCAGGCACCAGGAGATACACCCTTCCAGAGAAGCGGGAAACAGTCATTCTAAAATGCAATGTCAGAGATTCCAGCATGTTGATCTCCCTTTCCTACGATGTGCTCCTGGTGATCTTATGCACTGTGTATGCCTTCAAAACGCGGAAGTGCCCAGAGAATTTCAATGAAGCCAAGTTCATTGGTTTTACCATGTACACCACATGCATCATCTGGCTGGCCTTCCTCCCTATCTTTTATGTGACATCTAGTGACTACAGAGTAAGTCTTTGGTTTCTTCTTTTCCTTCATCTCTAATCCTGCCAATGTATTGTTGTGCAAGATCTGAACAGACTCCTTTTATTTCATCTCAGCAATCAGCTGGGTAATTACAAATACCATCAGGAATCTCTATATCAATGCAGAAATTAATATCTTTTGAATGCATTTAATCAGTGCTTATCATGTACAAATTGCTGTGGTAAGCTCAGAGAAATATAAATACAAATGGCATAGTCATTAAAGCAATTTATTATATAGTGGGAGGGAAAATATATATATTTATAATTTATGCACACACACACATATATATTATTTTAAATTAAGTGTACAATGTGATTTATAAAGGAATAATGTTTAAACCACTAAGAACCTAATAAGAATACTTCAAATTAGACACAAGAAGATCTCACTACTATAGATCAACCTGTAAATTAAAAAACACTTGGAACATTAGGCCAGGATTTAAAAACCTAAACTATTGCATTTAAGATTTTAAAAAAGACATCATTATTTCTCTGTTAATTTGTTATATTCTTTATGTTCCTCAAGGTATATACATAGTATCTATTATGAGGAACTTTTAATTATTTAAAAATATATGCTTCACTATAACATATTAATAAAAATATTACATAAAATATGGTATTTATGAAACTAGTTCTGTGTGTATATCCACCTCTCATTACCTTCAAGTCAGAACCAACTCACAGTTGGCCCTCCAGCTGGTTTTCAGAAGCTAAGCTATAAATCTTGTGGAAGGAAGTTCCCCATCTTTCTTCTGCACAGTAGCTGGGGGACTTGAACTGCCCACCTTTGTGGTACAGTTCTGTCAGCACAACTCCTCACCAGAAAGCCATCAGATTAAAGAATATAAAAGTGTTCTCTTTCCCTTTTAACTAGTCAAAAGTTTTACTCCACATATCCAAACCTAATTAGACATTAATCAAACAGTCTTAGCAATAAGTTGGTAAAATTTCTAGGCTTCAACATAATTACTCTCTCTCCTGAAAGAAATATTTCATCACCTCATCATCCTTTCTCAAATTGTTGCCAGCACTGATTATTTGTGGCTATATTAAATTCTGATTTTAGTGACTTTTAATGAATAAGATTTTTTTTCCCCTTGAGGCAATTAGTTTCTATCTTGTACATTTTCTGAGTAATCATAGGTTAACATTTTCTAGAACATAATTTCCTCATTACATCACAGATAAATAAAATGAAGTGCTTCCATTGGTCATAGTTGTCCACATATCTTTATATTGATAATCCCTATTTACATTGCCAAAATCTAGAAAACTTCATCTCAAAAAAGGAAAGAAAGCTGTTTCAAGAAACCAAGAGACCAAAAATGCTTAATGTATTGTATATTAAACTATGCACAGTGATGTGGCTGAGATTAGTCCATTAAAGAATAAAAATTAAGAACATTATTTAAAGTCAGGGTAATGGTTAGGTTTTCTAAATCTGTACATAAAGTTTTGAAAATGTACCCAAAAAAAGCTAAATCAGAACTAGATAAGCATAAACTAAGTTAAAGGAAACTTTATAGAGTGTTGGGATTAAAATGGAGAACTTAATCCAATGTCAGGAACTCTGGTGGCACAACAATTAAGCATTTGCCTGCATAACTAAGAGGGTGATGGTTCAAACCTATTCAATGGCTAGAGAGGAGCCAGAGACCTGGTGACCTGCTTTGGTAAAGATCACAGCCAAGAAAACCTCACAGGGCTATTGTTCTGTCACATGAAGCTGCCAACCAAAAACCAACATGTTGTTTTCTCCACCATCAGGTAAGAATCAACTTGTAGCTGACACTCCAGCAGGTTTTCAGAGGCTGTACATTTCATGGGAGAAAATCTCCCATCTTTCTCCCACAGAGTTGGTACATTTTAACCACATGTTTTTTACTACGAGGCCACCAGATTGAATGTATTTTACAACACCCTGTCTTTTATCTTTATACATGCATCCATTTCTATAGACCTGCAATAATTCTTTTTTAAAAAATTAATTTTAATCAAATTTTACAGAGACTTTGGATTTCCATTCATTCAGTGTTGCACTTTTCTCCCTGCCCACCCTTCCCCCCCCCCCAATTAGCTTTTCTCTTTGAAAAGTAAAAGAATGAATTCTTTCATTGTTACTCAAACCCTACCCCCAAGTCTGCTCCACTATGCTACCTTTGTTCTGGACTCCTGTCGTAACAATAATAGGAGCTCTTAGGTAGTCATTTCAGTGGGCATGGTTTAGGATGTTGAGATTACAAAATGGCTAGAGTGATAATTATTTTGACCTTGGCCTATGAGTAAGAAGTCATGGTGGCAGCACTTAGCTGCTAAAAAAAAGACCAGAGAGTTGAACCAGCAATTCTATGGAAGAAAGACATATGACAGTCAGCTTCTGTAAAGATGATTAGAAAACAGGACATAAGGACACAGGGCCATGAGCATCTCTCTGAAAGGGCCAGAGGGAGTAAGAATAGCACAGCCCCTCTCCAGCCCAGTGTAGAAAGCAGATACAGCGTCCATAACCCAGCCACATGGGGCTTGGAACCCCACCAGCAGCAAGAGGTTCTTTATTCATTGCTGACTCAGTTCTGATACCAACAATGCGGCGTATTAGGGAAAGTGGTTGGAGAATGGGGGAGGCAAAGAATATCACCCAGTCCAAACCCAAGTTATAGACAAGCAGTCCCAACTCACAATTCCTCAGTTAGAATTAGTCCAGTCTCCAGTTTCGGTTCTGCCAGCTGTCAAATCCATATCATCCAGCAAGGTTTTCCTCAAAGCAGTTATAAAGTTATAAAGTCAGCTTTTCCTTCAAGCACCTGGCAAGCCAGACCTTTAACTGTGGCCAGCACAAATGCAAGAAGCCTCAGGTCACACTTTGCCACCATTTGCCCTCAGCAACACCACAGCTCTCCTTACCACCACAAAACTTGCTCGCTTCAAGTCTTCCTCACCTCAAATCCTGTTGCTCAGTGTGGGATGCACTCTTTCAGTTATCCTAGTCCCACAGCTGATGCTGATTTGCAAGATCATGTGTCTGCGGTTAAGGTAGCTGAAGCCCAGAGGCTGCTAAATACTTGCTTAGAAAAAGCTGCCTTTTAGGCTCACACCACACTTGGAAACCCTGTGAAGCAATTCTACTTTGGCCCCTAGACTATGATTTGGAATCCACCACATCAAAGCACATTAGTCAAGGTATCTCTGGTGGCCTAGTGGCAAGAAGCTGCATTGCAATCCCAGAGGCGCATGGTTCAAATCCACCAGATGCTTTGCTAGAGAAGGAGGGGTAATCACCTCCTATACCAGTCAGATCCGATTTGATGGTACACACACAAAAAATAATAAATTTTTTTTAAAAAGCACATTAGTCTTATGATTTAAAACTGTTCAGACTCAAAAGAGTTGACAGAAAAATAGAGCAGGAAGTACAGCTATGAATGAACATAACATTCCATTCCATTTCTAGAACATAAAAAAAAGATGACTTAAGTTGTTAAAGCACAGAGTAACTTACTAGAAGTAATTATCTGAGGATATAAGACATTTTCATCCCCATTGTATATGGCAAAAGACAGATGAGACAGAGATAGTGGAGTTGAGATTTTTAAAGTATATATCAATAGACATCTAATCACACCAGGTTTTTTGAAACCTCATGTACTTCCCTACCAATGATGCCAATTCTAAAGCTGCACAATGAATGGAGAAGCAGGACTTGGGGTTGGGGGCAGGGGGAGGTGGAGCAGGAGATAATCTGAAGTCACCAGCATAGTGGTTTTCAAATTTGATTGCATATGGAATCAAATGGGCCCTAAAACTGTGTTAATGTTGAGGTCACACCCCTAGAGACTCTGATTCTATTGGCCTGAGCTCTGGCCTAGATTGACTTCAGTATTTTTCAGAATTCCCCTGGTGAGACTCTAATTTGCAGCTGAGATCAAAATCTCCTGCTCTAATGTGGTACATGCTTTTCTTGTCTCACAGATATGTTTGTCTCACAGTCTCACAGTCTGGCCTGCACTATTGGAATTTGTCAGAATTAGAAAATTAAGAAATTGTTCATCAATAACTAGAGTGCTCCTTAGAGGCAAGTGTAGAAACCGTCACACACATTTTGGGCATGTTGTCTGGAGGGGCCAGTCTTTGGGAAAGTTGGACAGAGAAGATGAAGACCCTCAACAAGATGGAATCTTGGTGGAATGACACAGTGACTGCAGCAGGGTACTTGAGCATGTCAGAGGTCATGAGGATGATGCTGGGATAGAACAAGGTTCCGAGCTGTTGTTCATAGATTTGATGTGAAGCTGTACTCACCTAACAACAGGCACATTCTTGACTTCTCTTACAGCTTGCACTTAAATTCCTACACATAATAACAATTAGCTAGACCCTTTTGGTGCCAGCCCCTCTAGATAGGTATGCACTGTCTTTGTTGCTTCTCATAGCCCCACTGTGGTTGTTGTTGAGTACCATCAAGTCGGAACCAACCCATAGCAGACCCTCCAGCGGATTTTCAGAGGCAGTTAATCTCACAGAAAGAGATTCCCCATCCTTCTCCTGCGGAGCTGCTGGTGACCCTGAACCACATGTCTTCAGGATTGTAGCACAGCTTGTTGCCACTAGGCCACCAAAGCTCCCTCATAGCCCCACTACTTCTTGAATTCTCACCCTTGACTCATTTCATTTGTGAATTTGCATGCTACTAGCATATAAATTCATATGTTGCCAGTATCTGTATTGGGGACCCTTGTTTTGAAAGAGTTATGTATATCCAGACCAAGTCTGGGACTTAGAAGTCCCCAGAGGAAACCATGTAGTGCAAATAGAATCAGAAGCACTAGAAAAAGTCTCCTATAATTCATGAGCTGCTGGAAGGGATTTGGGCATCAAACAGTCAAGAAGGTTTATAGCTCAGTGCTTTGCCACCCATTGTGAGTTATAAATAAATATAAAGCACTATTCCAAGTCTTCAAGAAGCTTATATCCCAG